TTAAAGTGCCAGTTGGTCTTTCCAACCAGCAAATCTATTTTTGCCCACCTGTGAGGTGCAAGACACTGCAGAGAATGTGGAGGTACACTGCACTCAGACTTTCCTTCAAAGATTATACTTCCATGACAAATGACTTCCCACCTTCTGCTTTTTCCTTTTAATAAACACCTGGTTGGTATTTGTTTCAACAGAGGCCATTAAAAATAGTGTTATGCAGTCAGAAAACGGGACTGTTAAAAGAACAGAAGGACATACAGTTCATTTCTCCATAATACTTCACTGAAATCATTTTAGGAAATTAACAATTACATTAATTGCCTAAAAGCAAGATTCTCTGCTCTTCCTTGGCAGTACATTTCCCCCCAATCTCTTCTTTATAATTGGTAATAGAAACGCTGAAATTAGGATAAAGACTTTAAACTTGTCATCATGATGAAATTAACTTATAATGCAAAAATAACACTTCCCTATACTGACTTAGCAATATTTCTACTTTTAACTATAGGGGATGAATAAATAAAGGAACACAAGTCTCAAACAGACATGGTGTGCTCAAGAGGTTTAATTATGTGGCGAGTAATAAAAAGAACTGGCATAAAGTCCATGGCACTAACATCCGCAAGGATTCCTATTTCCTGAAAACTAGAACATGCCGAAAGACGGATCTCCTGACCCAACTGCAAACAGGTATTTACTTCCTATTAACCTTTGTCAACACTGAACTTCTGAAGCCATTGTTTCCTCTGACGGCAGACATGCCTTTATTCATATTAGTTTTTCAGAGTGTGTTAGAGTTAAACACATATTTAGCAACAGCAAAAACAGCAGGGAGACAACAGCAGGAACCAGCAGACACTGCCTATGAGAGATGAAGCTCTTGAAATAAGTACCAGGATACAGTCTGCTTTGATTTCGGGCGTGAGCTTGAGTAATCCTAGCCCTTCACCCACTTCCAACCCATCGTTCCCCACTTTAATGACACAAATCTTAATTTATAGGAAGATCTTTTGCTTTTTTTGGAAAACAAATGTACGCTCAGATTCTAGGAGCCACTTTTATAATAGTGATTTCTGTGTTACACACTCTTACATGCGACAGACCGCTCTGCTGAGAGTCAGGCAACCTGGCAAGTTCGACTTCGATTCTAAACACTTACTAGAAGTGCGTCCAGGTCAGACACTCAATTCCTCCTGGTCTTATCTAGAAAATGGGTATAAATACCTGCCCTTTCTTACCTGACATAATTGTCCTGAGGTTCATGTAAGAAAATGTAGTTGTCAAGAGAAAAAAGCACTGTGTTCCTACCGGTGCCGTGGCAGAATTGCTCTCATAATATGCATGTTACAGTCCAATTCTTTCAGCTGAATCAGCTTCTTTGTTCATGCCTTAGAGAGCTGGCGGTATTGTATCCCCTGCTGTTAAAATGTGAATACATTAGGTCATTGGTTAAAAGAATAAGAACTATACTAGAAGCAATGCCTCTTTATGATGAAGGTAAAAATACTGAAATAAAAATTTTAAAGTCTTCAAAGATGAGGCAACTACCCTAATGCAGTAAGAGAATGACTTCTGTTTGTGCGCCCAAGGGGAAGGAAATAAAAATAATCCTAATCAGAATTTCTTGACCTTGACACTTTATGATCTGCTTCATCGTTTTGGTTTATTTACACTTCTGACTCCCGGGGCTCTCAGTGCCCTGGGCTCCTGGGACCCAATCTCTTGTACCTTCTCTTTACACCCTCCCCTGAGCAACACAAAAAAACTTCCGATTAATGTCAGAAACTTAATTAACTGAATGTTAGCTGAAATCGATTTCAGAAAGTATTAACTGATCTACCTTTTAACTCTTAAACTACTTGTTTCCAACTGTAGTAAACGGTTTGGGCACCCTACAAAGGAATGCTGTGCATCTCAAATCAGATTTCTCTTTTTCTTCTGGGGAAGGGAGTGGTGGTAGTGATAATGGAGAGTAGGATGGATAGAAAACGTTTATATTCTCATTAAGATAAGAAGGTTTTATGTTCTCACAGAATGGTTCTCAGGTACAAAAGAACGTATCCATTTTTCTATTTTGAACTCTTAGAGTAATGTCAATTCATAACCCATAGTTGATATTCGACTGATGTTTGTTGAAGTCAATCATCTTGTTTTGGATCTGTCAGGCTGACAGGAAGAAAGGGTCTGGTAGCATCCTCAGTCCCCTGAGATTTGTCCTTAGCTGGTCTCCCTGAGAACTCCTTAGATGGAGGCTTAGCCATGTCTGTGAATCCAAATCCATCCTTCAGTTCCCTGGCATTCTTGGATTTGGGTCCACACTTAACTTAGTATTTAATGTCTTCATATTGATGTCCTAGAATGCCTTAATATTATTTCTATTATTTCCACCCTTGGTTCTGGGGTTTCCATTAAAAAAAAAATTGTCACAGTGTACCTTATTTCTTAATACTGAGCAACGAAGAAAAGATACAAAAGATACAAAATCCATCCTAACCAAGAAGTCCCTTCCATCAAGAGTTGTAAAACATTCTGTCCATGTGTTTGGAATTATCCTTTGACTTTAACATTTTTTTTTTTTTTTAATTTGAAGGAGAATTTTAGAAGTTTCCAAAAAAAAAGTAACTTTATCACCAAATCAGTAAACCACGTTACCAATTATTTTTTATTTGTATTGCACACAATATTTTACAGAAAAAAAATAAAGAACCCCTTATTGTTAAACTCCAATTAATTACATGTTTTCTTCTGATTCTTCTCAATGTAGATACCTAAATTTTTACATAAATATAATCAGTACATAAAATAATTTAACACTTTTGAATCTCACTTAACATTTGTTCATACAATTTTACATATAGCAATATCGTTTAATGACTATATAACAGTCTACAACAGCAATACCAATACATCAAAATCTGCTCATCCATTTCCCAATTTGGGGCTTGTTTTTTTAAACCCATATGAATGAAATTGCTAGAAATATCTTTGTATAAGTAGCTTATTTTTCTTTTAAATACTTCCCTAGGCATATGCTATTCGAAGTGAGTTGATCTAGCAAAAAAAGATTGGTTACAGAGCTCTTGTTGTAATCATCTAAATAATTCTTTTAAAAATTACTAATATAATAATGCTACTGACACGAAGATACGTGAATTTTAAAATGCTTTGCTGTATTAGCATAAACTAGGTCAAAGTTGTTTCAATTTGCATTTTTAATACTATTTAAATCTGAATTATCATTCCAAGAATTCACTTTTATTTGTAGCTTCTCATTTGTACTCTATCTTTTCATTAATATGCTTAGTAAAGAGTAGAAAGCCTTATGGATTTGCATCTACTTTTTAAAAAACATTAAGCACTTTATTCATGTGTAATGCTAGCAGCTTTTTTTTTTTAACCCAATCTTTTCATTTTCTTCCTGTTTGGTGTCCATTTTTCATTTTTCTTTAGTTGATCTCACCTACTTTCCCAATAATGTTTTTCACTGCCATAAAGTTTTTTTTGTACTGCTGGGATGAGAATTGTAGTCTTTTTATTTTTACCTTTATAATCAACGTTTTAATTCATCTGGAATGAATGGCCTTATCATATGTAAAGTGGGCCCGATTCTTTTTTCATACTGACATCCAGGCTAGTCTTTCCACCAGTAGTTATTTCATAATTACTTGTTTTTTAATTGGTTTGTCTTTAAATCCTAAACTTTCTAAATATACTATGATGCTGAGTATCATATTATCATGTCAATTAGCTGACAGATGCTAATTCTGTCAAATTATTCAAAGTATCAGTTGGAATGGTGAGTGGAAGTGTAATAAATGTATATATTAATGTCATCTAGGGGCATTCCTTTGGATAGGATTTCATACATATTACCTAACTTAATCCTCACAATAATTCGGCAAAGTATAGTTCTATAGATGGTGAAATTATCTTGATGGGTTTAAACCTAAAAATATACCCCATAAAACGACTTTATCACATTCAAAATATGCATAAATATTAAGACCAATTCACGACTTGTTTCCAGTAAGCTGTAAATTTCTTAAATCTTTTTCTCCTTTTCCTCACCTTTTAGCCTAGTAACATCTGCATTTCTTATAAACATGTTGTTCAGATCAAAAGATACTCTAAAAAGCATAACTTTGTCAAAACTTAGCCAAATTCTGCTGCCAGGGGCTCCACTGCTCTAAACTATATTTTTAATTAATCCTAATCTTCCCATTTCCCTGATGAGAATCAGCTGAGAGACCCGAGTCTGGAGCAATGCTGCACTGACTTCCAGGAGCATGTTTCCCCTCCCGCGATACAGGCACTCTTATAACAGTTAATGTTAGAAGAAAGCCTAGATTCCACTGTTGGCTCTTCTACACGTACCAGACCCTGAGCAAGTTATTAATAATTGTCTTTCTTCTTTAAAAATCTATTCACTGTCAGCCTCACAGGGTTGTTGAGAAACTGTAATTAGAAAGCACACTAAGCGCCTAACACATAGAAATGCTCCATTCCAGAACAAAAAATTGGCTTAATGGGCTCTCTTCCTATAGGATTATCATTCTAAGGAACAGAAACAGGAGACTGAAGTGGATGGAGTTTACCTCTTCTCGCAACTCCACAGATATTCACAACTGTAGTACAACAGTTTTGGCTTCTGATGGTTCTAGAAAAAAAAATGTTTCTGTTGTTTAGAAATCTATGGATGGTTTTGAGAAACCATCTGTAATCCCAGGTTAGAAATGCCTCACTCCATTTCTTCTTAGGAATTTCATAACAGCCAATCTGAAGTACCTTTTCCTGGGGGCAAGATACTTTTTCCTTTTGGCCTGAGTTAGAGTTGTTGGAAGTTCTTTTCTTTTAGGTGCCAGCACAGGGCTCTGCAGCAATTTTCTGAAGTATTAAATCAGAACTAACCTTACGCCCTAGATTTCCTTTGGGACAAACTTCCCAAGAATGAACTCTTCAATGACTAAATGAATTCTCCAGCACTTTCTGTAATCTTTTGATTGTGGTGGTGTCCCTGACTCATAGGTTAACAAGAGTCAAATGGGGGAACTGAACTGCAAAGTGGAACTGAACTGCAAAGTGTATTGTAAACACCAGACCTTGACAAATAAAGGAACATGCAAAGCTAATCTTCTAACAGTTGGCACTTGCGTAAGTTGCTATTGCTACCATCATGTCTGTACATTGATATCATATACAAAACACCCACATAATTTACTGTGTAACTATTCAGAGGTGGTAGCAACTGTAATAACTGCAAAACTAATTAAAATATTCCTTAGGTATTATTGTTGTTATAGACAAATACAATCGGAAGATCATTAGTAGATATATATTACCTGCCGTTAAGCCCAGTTGCTAATATGGAACCCTCACTTATACACCCAATACTAAAATAAAGTTAACCTTGTCCAACAGTCAATCAGTTACTGATAGGTTAACAAAGACATCCAATGACTGATGTCTCAAACAGAACTAAAGACAACATCTACACAGCATCCATCATATAACCAGTTCTAATTACTCATATAGGACACTGTCCTCTAAATGAAAATACTCTGATGCCAGGACGAAGGCCCAAAATAGCACTTCCAGTTTGCTTCTTCCTAGTTTTCAAGATGTTTCCCTGGGCTTTCTAGGTTTTTGCTTCCCTCAGAGGAGTCTAGTTTGGCCATGATTATGTTATTGGTTCCAGAAACCTCTGGTTGTTTATCATCACCATCAAAGATAATGTCTTCTGGATTTGGAGGTGGGGGACAGAATTCTTCACTTGGAAAGATCTCCCGGAACAGCGTTTCAGCTTGCTTGACCGCATGCTCATTTCCCAGTCCACAGTCAGGCCCAGAGCAGACATAAACATTGGACGGTAAGCCATTATATGAGCTTCTGCTGACTCCGGAGGAATCTCTCATATTAAAATAAAGAGCCCACAAGAGTCTTGGCTTTGTAAGTTCCTCCTCATTTATTGCTGCTTCAGTATATGGAGTGAATAGTTTCTTTACTACTGACTCTAAGTCTTCTCTTGCTGTTTTAGAGGAGGAACAGGTCAGATGTACCAGATAAGTGTCTTTCATGCACGTCATGGTTGAAGAACATAATTCAGTGACACGAACGGCACATGTTCCTGAGTCCGCTGGAGGCACTATCAAAATGGAAAGTTGCTGATCTGAATCTGTCTTTAGTATAGATTGATCTGTAATGAGCACTGCCCTGGAGATCTGCTTATACTGTATATTTGAGCATGTTTTCTCAGAAAGGTAACTATCCTCCACAATAAAATATTTAGCATTTATTCTTTGACCTAAGTGATCTATAATTGCTTTACATCTTCCAGATTCTTTGTCAACTACAAGGCATTGAACTTTATGGCGAAGACAATAGATTCCACCAAAAACTGCACACATCCTGCAGAAACACTGGGGAATTTCTCCTTGGCCATATAAGGGAAATAAAAAGGGAGTGTTGCCAAACCGTCCAAGACACTGAAGGAAGTTTTTTGTTGCTTTAAGGCCATCTATTGTAGTGCAAGATGATTCTGTCATTGCAATGGAGTGCAGTACAAAATGCTGGAGGTTGGGGGTTAATTTTTTAGTTTTTAAGTACTCTGAAAATGAGCATTGCATGAAAGCTTGGTATTGGTCAGGATGTTGTTCATAGTCTAAACAAAATGTAAGAAATTTCATTAGTATCCTCTTTTCAACCATAGTGAGTTCTTTGCTATTGAAGACATCTGCTCTGGAACAAGGCACCTGTTCTACTTTTCCTTCTCGAAATGCAAGAATCCTAGTGACATTTTTAAATTCTGCATAACGACTAACATTTGATTTGATTAAAAGATCAATCAGCAACCCTTGAGAATACAGGAGCTTTGATACCAAATCAATATTAAACCTCCTGCTTTCTTTAACTATTTGAGAGTAAGTAATCCTATTTCTCTTTAGTTGATCAGTGTTGTCTTCCTCTATAGGTTTGTTTTCATCTGTATCTCCACCTGAAACTGTGTGTCTACAAGTTTCATCTCCACAATATTTTTCTTCTGCCAAGGTGCCCTCTACACCACTTACTTCTAGTGAAATCTCTCCATCATTTTTTGGAATGTCTTTGGCAGGCATTTCATAGCTAGTGACATATGAGTGTGTTTCTTCAGACAAGCATGCAGAATCCAGAGGTTTAGTGAGAGTACTAGATGTCAGTGAGGAAGGATTTTTCTGCAGAGCATCAGTCTCTTCAATTTTGTCATCCATATCCTGATTGGCGTAACAAAAAACTTCTGTGTGTTGAATGGTTTCATCCGTCTTGCGCAGAGTGATGGCTTCTTCTGTTTCATGAATCAGGCCTTGCCACGAGGCAGTACTTTCTTCTGCAACATCACTCTTTTGCTGGTACTCCTTCAACCAGGAGAGCAATCCTGAAAAGTTGAAACTTGCCCAGTTTCCTCCATAGTAGCTTCTTGAATCGAGATGCAGAACCCTCTGACCACTTCTTGAACACGCAGCTGCAAGGATGGATTCGGGCAGACCTGTCCCTATTATGATCACATCGAATTCTGTGGGGAGACTGTCCGCCATTCTGGAAGATAAAGCGTCTGTTGACAACTGCCGATAAAGGAAACACGTATGAGTCTAGGCTGAGGGCTCAGCTGGGACGTGAATGTGCCGTAATAAATCTCTCCTTGTGGTATTCCAGTTCATCCCAGAAGTACTGAGGCTGCAGGTCCTAGCTGTTTAACTGTCACCCTTTCTTAATACTGTTTTCCTTAGGTCAGTAGCATAAAAATATGATAAAATATATCTAATCACATCTGAGAACACTAAAACGGATGTGTGGTTTTCATTTCTGTATTTCATCTTAGCAGTAAATGTCAAAATGCATCACACATGCATTTGTGACTGGAACTCTTCTCTGAAAGAAGAAAATTCAAGAAAGAATACAATTGTAAACAATATTAAGAGAAAAGTAATTTCATGCAACAGCAATTACAATCCACTGGAGTCTGATTTGTTGTTAGCACATAAGCCTCTATGAAAGCAAGTCATTAAATGCTTTCTTACATATTTTCTAATTTCTTGAAAACAACAGAGATTTACCCCCCAAATTACATAATAATGAAGAGGGGACATCATAATGTCCCATAAAAATAAAGAACTTTCGTAATACAATTCTAGAAGTTTTGCTTTTCTTTTTTTAAATATATATATATTTTTTTACATTTATTCACTTTTTGAGAGACAGACAGAGTGCGAGCAGGGGAGGGGCAGAGAGGGAGGCACAGAATCTGAAACAGGCTCCAGGCTCTGAGCTGTCAGCACAGAGCCCAATGTGGGGCTCAAACTCATGAGCGGTGAGATCATGACCTGAGCTGAAGTAGGACGCATAACCGACTGAGCTATCCAGGTGCCTATAAGTTTTGCTTTTTCTAATACTAATATCTGAATAAAACTATACAGAACTGTGAGCTTAGACTATAAGAAATGCGTGGTTCCACCTGTTTATGGAAACAGACTACATACTATGTGCACATTGTCATGACGAGGAATATTTCTGTGGCCAATTTAGTCAGTGGGTGTTTTTAGAACAGCTGAATGAAAGACATTTCCGTGCCAAAGCCTCCCGTAGGATCTCGTGGTAGCATCATGAGACTATTTTAGTGAATTAACCAGATTATTGCAAAGGGATTAATTCAGTGAAACAACCAGCATTTTGAAATATTTAGGTGCATAAAAGGTCTACTGAAGGGAACATGCATTTATAACAAATCTTTATATGAACGTACATACACACATGTGTTTTTAGGTGTAAGTTAAAAAGGAGAATTTCTGCCTTTCTAAGTTAAAATATATTCATATAAATAATACCTACTTGTGAAATCCAAGTGAGCATGAGGTGGCTTGCATTTTGCCAGCCTCTGGCTCTGTGACCCTGAATCTCTGTATCCCAACATAAAGGCCTATCTAAACATCCTCTGCTAAGATTAATATGTTATTTGGATTTTTGGAGGGGGTGGGAGGTGGCAGTGAAGAAACCACCCCCCCCCCCCCCGTTAACTTCTGGCATAAGGCTGGTTATACACCATGCACAGAACATTTGTGTGGCTAAAGGGGCAACAGCGAAGGGGGTGTAAGGCATACAGCCCTGGCAGTTTTCAGGCTGACACACTACATATACACCATGTGATGTCTCAGCCGTCATCGTCATCGTGCAGCTAGAGGGGGCGTTCTTTGAGCACTAATGTTCCCTACCAGTACACTCACTGAAATCTAGATCAGTACTAAATGGGCCTGCCTAGGCTAAGATGACAAATTACCTTGGACATTTGTAAAACAAGCCATTCGACCGAAAACTGGATTAAATCGACTAGTTCACTGAATGGACTGGTCAGTTTAAGTGAAATGGCGATCTTAACAGTCCTGTCTCGTCAAAGCCTCTGCCTCAAGAATATCAGGGATTCTACTTGCTGTCAGCATTCCCTGAAAAAACAGGAACTGAGCGGTGAAATGAGGCAGCCGCCCAGCCTGTTCATACATGTGTGTATGCATTACTTACCCTGCTTTCTTCCAGCAGGGTGTGCAGAGGAAGACAGAACCCAGGAAGGTATATGAGGAAGTGTAACCACACCATGTGCTTATTATTGGCTTAGGAGACAGAGCAGAAGATACAAAGCATAAGTGCTAAAACCAGGCGCCTTCTAACCCACAGATGTCCAAAGAGTCCTCAAAACGCCAAGCACATAGGACAGAACCACCTTAAAGAACATTTAGCTCACTCCTCCATGACATAACAAAACTGATGGCGGGAGAGTTTAGTGACTGGGAAACTCCATACAATCGGTTAGCCAGGCGACAGAGCAGAACCCACTCTCGTGTCATCAGGCCAGTGGGCTTTCCACTTGATAGGGCAGTGGAAACAAGCAGCCACTTTGGGAATTTTTAAATTTCCTCCCCCTACAACACTCCATGTTAGTTTTGCTCCGGGGGGAATGGGGGGGTGGGGGGATGTACCCTCCCTTTCTTCGACTTTAACTCTTATCCAGGAGCACAATCCTTGGAATTTACTTCACGCAAAGAAATTCTTAATCCTGGCTAAGAACTTTTTAAGTTCTATCATAACTCCACTGTTGACTTGTCTCCCAGGGCTTAAACAAGTCTCTGAATCTCTTCGCCCAGAGTTTCCACCTCTAATTTAAAAACAGGGATAAAGTCATGGTCGAAAGCGTAACTGTATGCCCAGAGAAACACAGAAGTCAAAACACCATGTGGTGAACGTTTCTACCAGTTTTAGATAATCCCTTCTGACTAGGATGGGACCTGAGCAGGGAGAGGAGTGAAGGAGGAAAAAGCAATGGAAGAGAAGGAGACGCAGCAGCAGAGTGAGGTCACAGAGAGGAGATAAGGAAGAGGGAGAATGCTAGCACTAATAAAGAACTCCACACACCCTGTTTTTAAAGCCCCAGGCACAAAGTCCAGGTAGAAACAGAACTTCCCAGCACATAAAGAGCACTTCTTGGAAATAAGAAATTTCATGTCTGTGATCAAACACCTGTTGCCCATCTCAGGGAGCGTTACTGATGATACTTCACAATTAAGCTTCGATCACCCTCTTTCTGAAAACTTAGCCTGCCTAAAAAATTGCCTGGCAGGTATTTTAAATATAAAAAATATAATCACCTAGCCATCTATATTACCACCTACATACACTTAACAGCCCCCTCCCAAGTTTCAAATCTTTGTATAAATGAAATTCTCACATTAATGCTTATTGAGGAGGGGGGAAGTAGTATTGGAATATTAGAATCACTGAATCAATCAAATAAATGAAATCATGATTTCTATTACTTTTTTTCTGGTTTCCTTTAAAATACCAAAGAGTGGGTTATATCAAATATTTGGGTTTGCCACAACATAGGAGATTGGTGAATAAGAAAATTTCTGATAATGCTGCAAAGATTTTGTTCTCAAAAACCTGCCAAGATAAAAGCAGTAATAAATTATCAATACATTTCAGGATTTTTTTTTTTTTTTAGGAACTTTAAGACCTGAGAAATACACATTCTCATTTCACAGCCTGTACAAATGAAATTCCTGGAGCACACACAAAAAGGTACTTGCCAAGCTTAGAAAATCACGTCCTCAACGATACATTGGGTAGATCCTCCTTCGAAATGTCAAGTCTCAGTGAGACTTGAATCTTCCGCAGGATTAGGAATATGGTTGAAATAAACCTTCATTTTAACAATCAAGTTCTACTTCAATGAAATCTACTGCTGCACAGCTAATTATTTGTCCATCTAGGGTGGGATTCTCAGAGCCAGATGTAATCTCACCTTAGATTTTGGTGTGCTGGAACCACTAAGGAGGTAAAATATAGTAAAAATAGCTTATGAGCCACAAGTCAATTTGCATTGTGAAGACCTGAATGAAGGCTCTTTCACTTCCTAGGAAGCATTCAAAGGTTTATATCTGCTAATGAGCACAATTAAAGAAAAGAAATACACACTGCCACTCGGCTACATTTCTACTTCTCATTTTAGAAAACAGCATTGAGGGAATTAAATCTCTTCTCATCCCCCTCTCCAGCTTTCATGAGTTACTTTTTCTTGAATCTGTTGACTCTACAGCCCCTCGTTTCTTTCCTCAAAGTGTAAAGCCGCCGTTTCGTGGCCTGTTGAATTATATCGGGAGGTGGAAACAGAGAAATGAGATGAACTGGACAGCGGCTGGAGGGAGCTGGGAAGGAGCTGGGGCTGAAGCCGGGCCGGCTGCGTTGGAGAGGGGCGGCCACAGGCACAGAGCCGGGGCCGCCGCAGGCCGAGAGGAGGTGAAGGAAGGAGGAAGGAAAAGCCATGCGGCGCGGGGCGGACGAGCGGAGGCGAGGCCGGCGCGGGAGCTGAACCGCAGGGCGGGCTGGAGGGGAGGCCGCGCGGGGAGGAACTGGGAGCGGGCTGGGTGGCGAGGGGACGCGCAGAGACGGTGGCAATGCAGGGAACGGGAAGTTTTCAGAGGGGAGGATGCTTTCCTCCCAGCCCAACTCACCGAAAAGGCTGCTGCTAAACCCGTCCCACACGCAGCCCACGGTGTCCCAGACCCAGCCGTTCCTCAGGCAGGACACGAAGGTAAAGGTGACCCCGAAGAGGGACACCAGCAGGTCGCTGAGGCTGATGTTGACCAGCAAGAGGTGGGTGGGAGTGCGGAGCCGCTGGAACTTGTAGTAGAGGACAAGCACCAGCAGGTTGTTGCCGACGCCCAGCAGCCCGATAGAGCCAAGGAGCAGCGCCAGGCGCTCATAGGTGCCCGGGCTGAACAGCGGCGCGGGGCTGAGCGTCCCCGCCGGTCCCGGCCCCTCGGCGCCCGCGGCCCCGCCGCCCTCCCAGTGGCCCTGGCCGCCGCTACGGTTCCCCGAGTACATGGCCCGGCGCCGGCGCGCTCGGCGGCCGCGGCGCTCAGCCTCCTGCGCGGGCCGCGGCACGCTCCGCACTGGGTGGGGCTCGGGCTCCACCGCCCGCCCCGGCCATTGTGCGCGCCAGGACCTCGACGCGTCACCAGAGGCCGCCCTCCTCCGCCCCTTCCGCCCGGCCCGCCACTGTAGTCCCGCCCCCTACCCCGCGCGTCGCGTTCCCGCCCCTCCCGGCTCCCCCGAGGCCCCGCCCCCTTCCCCCTCGGCGCTCTCCTGTAGCCCCGCCCCTATCCCCCGCGTGGTGCGTTCCCGCCGATCCCCACACCTCTAGCTCCCCCTCGTAGCCCCGCCCTCTTCCGCGCCGCGCGCCCGTATAGCTCCGCCCCCTACACTCCCGCCCCTCAGAGCGTCTAGTTCCCTGCGGCTCTGCGCGCTCTCAACCTCCTCATAACCCCGCCCCCTCCTTCTGGCGCTTTTCTGCAGCTCACCTCTGGCGTATTCTCTGCTTTGCTCGCAGCTGGGCCTCCGGACTCTGTTTCCTGGCCCCAGCACCCGCTGCCCCAGCGTGTGCCCGCACTAGTGGACAGCAGTAGGCGAGCAGGGAGGAGAAGGCAGTAGGGAGGCAAATCCACCGCAGTGGCCCCGCACATCCCATCTCCCTGCACCCGGCTTGAAAGCATCACACCCATGCACCCAATTCACTCGTGCATTTTCTCGTTTATAAACATTTATGAGCGCCTGCGCCTAACACAAGCTAATGAGAGGGTAGGTGAGGGCCTCCCATCTTGGGTTTCCCACCATCCCAGGAAGCTGTAATAACTTACTGCTAGCCCACAACATTATTCTCATCTCACACAGGTAAGTGAGCCCCAGGCTGGACCCCTAGGCCCGCCATCTTTCTCCTTCCTGTCCTGTTACTGAGGCCTGCCAAAGCTCTTCACTGGTGGCGACCATCCAGGCTGTGCTCTCAAAGCGTCAACCTAAATCTAGCGGCTATAGAGAGGTAGGTGCTATATTTAGAACACACATTTTCCACTTGGCCTTTTCCCCAGTAGCCATGAAAATATAGTACAAGTCAAATATAGGTTGTGAACGTGATCATAGTCTGCGAGGGCTGCACCGCTGTCCCTGCACAGCCTCTAACAAGGTCCCACAGGAGGACCACAGTCCTGAGCCAGACCTGAAGGTGGCCCTGGGTGCTGGTGACAAGCACAGTGTGGAAGGGCAAAGGAATTGTCCTCTATGAGGGTGTTTACCCCTTCTACCCCTGTTCAAAAGACCAGTAGAAAATCACTAGCTTCACTGAACCCCCATTCTAAATTCCCTGGAAATGCAGAATCAAATAGGGCGGGGTGATCTCTCCACCCTGGTGCATTGAGCAGTAGCTGGGGGGGGGGGGGGTTCAGCCCTCAAAACCTTGATTTGTCTTTGAAGATTCCAATCTGGATTTGTCATCTATGAGACTTATTAACCCATCCACACCTTTAAAAAATTCATCTAATTAAAAAATTTTTTTAATCTTTATTTTTGAGAGAGAGAGACGACAGCATGTGAACAGGGGAGGAGCAGAGAGAGAGGGAGACACAATCTGAAGCAGGCTCCAGGCTCTGAGCTGTCAGCGCAGAGCTTGATGCGGGGCTGGAACCCACGAACTGTGAGATCATGACCTGAGCCAAAGTCGGACACTCAACTGACTGAGCCACCCAGGCGCCCCTCATATAATTTTATATTTTAGATGTATGCAAACATTTTTTTAAATTTTTTTTCAACATTTATTTATTTTTGGGACAGAGAGAGACAGAGCATGAACGGGGGAGAGGCAGAGAGAGAGGGAGACACAGAATCGGAAACAGGCTCCAGGCTCTGAGCCATCAGCCCAGAGCCCGACGCGGGGCTCGAACTCCCGGACCGCGAGATCGTGACCTGGCTGAAGTCGGACACTTAACCGACTGCGCCACCCAGGCGCCCCGATGTATGCAAACATTTAACAAGTTCTATATGTTTAATATGTTTAATGTTCACTATGTTTTCATCACACTTCCTATCTAGTCTACAGTAAGTTCTCAATAAATATTTGTTGAATGAATAAAGGGCTCACTATATTTTTTTCTAAAGCATTCATTCATTCGTTCGTTCGTTCATTGGTGCTGAGTCCCTGCCCTCACAAAGCTTACATTCTGGTAGTGTTGGGATAGATAATAACCAAGTAAGTACATGTGTAGTGTGTCAGATGCTGATATGTGTCATAAAGAAAAAATAAGGCAGAGAAAGGGTATGGGGAAGAGAGCGAAAAGATTATTTTATACAAATGGTTATGGATAGCCATGCTAAGTTCTGCAAGCACAGGGAGCATGTACTGGGTTAGGACCGTTCGTAGCATTTTGGAGGAAAAACAAGGAAACCAATGTGGCTGGAGCAGAGGGGAATTAAGAAATGAAGGCAGAAATATGGGTGACCAGTGATTGGGCAGATCATGCAGGGCCATGGCCATTTTGGGAAACCTATATGGAAGAAGAAGAATAGCAAGGAAGGAAAAAGAGGAGTAAGAGGCTTTTGGCAAATGTGTAAGGATTTTGATAGAGTCATTATTATAATACTATTAACTGCTAAAGATATTTATTATACTCAACAGAAGCAGACTAAGACCAGAAATATGATTTATATTGTCAATAATGATATATATTTTTATTTATTTTCAGAAGTATGTTATGATAGGAGATGGCAAAATACCACACCTTAAAAAGCAAGTGCATAAGGACAGACATAGACCAAGGGAACAGAATACGCAAGTGCATAAGGACAGACATAGATCAATGGAACAGAATAGTCAAGATATAACCCTTCACGTATATGGTCAATTGATTTTTGACAAGGCTGTCAAGACCATCCAATGGGGAAAGGAAGGTCTTTCCAACAAATGGTGGTTGGAAACCCTGATGTCCAAATGCAAACAAAAAACAAACAAACAAAAAAATCAAGTTGGACCCTTCTCTTATACCATTTAGAAAAATTGACTCAAAAAGCAGCAAACCACTAAACTTAAACACTAAAACTATAGAACTCTTAGAAGAAAACATAGGAGAAAAGTCTTCATTGCATTGGCTTTGGCAATGATTTCTTCAATATGGCACCAAAGGCATAGGCAACATAAGAAAAAATACATAAATGAACTCCAACAAAATTTAAAACTTTTGTGCATCAAATGACACTATCAAGAGAGTGAAATGACAGTCAATAAAATATTTGTGAATCATAGATCTATGAAGGATTAATATAGAGAATATAAAAAGAACTCCTGCAACTCAACAATAACAACAACAAAAAACCCCAAGCAACCCAATTCAAAAATGGGCAAAGGACTTAAATAGACATTCCTTCAAAGATATACAAATGGCCAACAAGTGCATAAAAAGATGCTCAATATCATTAGTCACTACAGAAATGCAAATCAAAACCACAATGAAATATCACTTCACACTTGCTAGAATGGCTATTCTCAAAAAGTAAAAACTAAAACAAAAAAATGGAAAATAATAAGTGTTGGCAAGGATGTGGAGAAATTATAACCCTGGTGTGCTGCTGCTGAGAATGTAAGATGGTGTAGCCACTATGCAAACAGTGTGGCAGCTCCTCAAAAAGTTAAGCATGGAATTATCATATGATCCAGTAATTACATCTATCTATCTATCTAATCTCCAAAAGAATTGAAAGCAGGGACTTCAACAGATATTTGTACACTGATGTTCATAGCAGCCAAAATGTGGAAATGAACCACATGTCCATATCAGACAAATGGATAAACCAAATGTGGCATAAAATGGAATCGTATTCAGTCTATAGAAAGGAACGAATTTCTAGTACATTACAACATGGATAAACCTTGAAAAAATTATGCTAAGTGAAATAAGTCAGACACAGAAAGACGAATATTGTATGATTCCACTTACATGCGGTACCTAGAATAGGCAGATTCATGGAGATGGAAAGTCAGGGTCTGAGGACTGAGGTGGGAGGAATTGGGAGTTAGTGGTTAAGATCACAGAGCTTCAGTTTGGGATGATGAAAAAGTTCTGAAATAGACAGTGGTGATGGTTGCATAACATTGTAAGTGTGCTTCAAGCCACTGACTTGTGTACACTTTTATGTTATGTATATTTTCACAATAAAAAAGTAGATGCAAATTGTGCCTGCATTTCTCAGAGTAGGAAAAGGAAACAGATGCAACCAGCTTATTGAGCAAGCCGGACTCAGCAGGTGTAAGCAGAAAGTAACTTTACTCCCTCCCATTACTGATTTCAAATGTCTTCTCTGCACCTGTTCTTTAACTGCCTTTGAATGATATTTTATGAGGTTCCAAAGCCTGTCTTCCTTGATTGGTAAAGTTGTCATCTGATGTTGGCACCCTCAGATTGTGGCAGATTTTAACTGCTGTCATTTTCTAGGGTGATTCGTGGGTTCTTTTGAGGACCTGAAGTGACAGAGATCTTTCTCTCACAAGTCCCTTGACAGAGGTAATGCCTTTGCCAGCTGTCTGCTTGCATCTCCCCCTAGGACCCTGGTTAGGGCCCCCAGACCCTGCAGGCAGTCTTCTCCAGTAGGGGCCCTCAGAGTCTAGCATCTGCTCCTCTCGCAATGTATGCATTCTAGTCACACCAAATTCTGGGTGTGGACTGCTGTGGAGAACTGGCCAGCCTCAGTTTCTCCCCTCTGGTGCCCACTGGGTAGAAAGAAATCGAGAAAAGTCTCGGC